TTCGCCTCAACCCTCTACGGAAACCATATCTTTCATTGGTGGAAGCACTGCCCACCAATGTTTTCAAACCCGAACCGAAAGTCAAATCGTTTTGATTTTTGGTTCGTGGTTTGAACGATTCAATCGATTTAACCAATAAAATCATCGGTTAATCAATTACTATAAATATATGATTTTGCAAAAGATACCACACGGTGTAGGTGGGTTGCATTGGTAGATGGTTGATTTCCTATAAGAGAGATTTGGAGTTCAAATTCACTTGATAACAAATTTTAATATAATTGTGTTTTAAACATAGAATAAGTATATTGTTAAGCATTAAAATGACAAAAGAACATTGTGTTCAAGTGGAAAAACAGTTGTTATACGACATGGAGACTAAGCGTTTGAATCTCAAACTTTGGGATTTATATGGGTTAAATAACAGTCCAAGCACCCATTAACCAAAGGATTGCATTGTCTTGGTGGTAAAGGATCAACCTAAAGACTCTAAAGTTGCAAGTTCAAATATCCGTGGACACAAATTTCTCAAAATTTTATGCCCAAGCATTGAACCATCCGGTTGAACGGTTTGAGCGGTTTTAAATGATTTAACCATTTAAATGGTTCAAAAAGTGTAACCGAACCGTTTAGCTCACCGGGTACCGGTTCAACCGGTCCGACCGTCCGGTCCGATCCGGTTTTCAAAACCTTGCTGCCCACTTCACCTCCCAAACACAGCCAAAAAAAAAAAACTGAAAAGAGGGAAAGGGTGTGGAATGATGAGAGGAGGAAAAGGAAAAGTGAATGTGGAAAAGGCGAACCAAAGAAATAAATAAAGCAGAGGGAACCAATCAGCAAAATCAACTAGAAAAAGTAGGAATACCGAACAGGGAGAAAGGTGCAAACAAGTTCTGGAGAAAGAACGTTAAAAGGTGGTGACTGATGTGAGTTGCATTCAAATAAAGGATATAATTAGGATGTGTGGAAATTTTGTGAGTGTTTTAGATTTTTTATATTTTTTTTGGAATTTGTGAGTGTATTTATTTTTTTATATTATTTATATTTTATTAATTTTTAAATTTTAAAATGATCTTAAATAATAAAATTTAAAAAATTTTCAATTTTTACTTTTTATAATTTTTTTTACCCATTACATATTTTTTTTTATTTTTAAAAATAATTTTTAAATCTTTTACCTAATAAAAATTTAAATTTATAATTCATAATCTTTATTAAAAAAAAATAATAATAAAACTACAAGAATCTCCCCCATACAGGCCTAAGTCAGTATCTTCCGAAGCCATTATCAACAC